TGTGATTTACAATATAATCGCAAACTGTATGTAAAAAAGAGACTGTATTTTACATTTAACAGATTTTTTGTTCAGCTGAGGAGCTGAGAAAATTGCGCTTATAAAAGTTACATTGGAAAAGAGTAACTTACCATTCCAGATTATTACCGATAATATCAGTTGGTCAATATCCCTATCTTCACGTATATTTACAATAACTTCCGTTACAGCCTGGCTAATTTTCATATCATCATCTAGTTCATCAATATAATTCACAGCTAAAACAGAAAATTCACATTTTAAGTTAATTAATAAAGGTAGCTAAACAGGGTTGCCAGATGTCCTCCCATAAGGGGGGCAGTCCTGCATTTAGAGACCTGTCCCACCGTGTGTCCCCCATTTCGAGGATGTGCTCTTTAGACTGTATCCAATGGACACTTGGAAACTTCTTTATGCAATTGACTATAAGAAACGAAACAAAAATCGAATGTAACAACATTTGTACATATTTTAAGTTCAAATTCACATTTTGTTCCTAGAGCTAAATATCTCGACTTTTATGCGTATCTGATTAATACAGAATAATAGCAATACTCGATAGAAATAAAAGAATATACTCATGTTCTTTTAATGTTCTCAATGGCATTGCACGACAAATAATGTGTTTTGAGTTGTGCCCCTTTGTAGTAAAAACAGTCCCCCTTACGTCCCCCTTCACTTTTATTTTAATTGGCGTTCGTTTTCGAGCGCTGAATCACAAGAGAAAAGATACAAAAAAATTGATTAATCTATGGTTGATCGATTCTAACACTTAATGTTATTGAGAACATTTAAATTTAATGTTACGTCTTTTGTGATGATCAAAATCGAATCGATGTTTGCTTCTCTGCTGTTGTTATAATAATTATATATTCTGGTAGCGCTCTGAATTCTCTATCATCCTGTACTTTGCCGGCATTGACTTACAAGTATTTGCTGACAATACTTCGAATATTTTTAATGTACCCACATATCACATTCCCATGGATTGCATTCCATGCTTCTCAACTAACGCTTCTTTTTTTACAGATCACGAGAAAGAGCACATTCAAAAGTACAAAAAGAACTGAGTTCTCATTTTTGTAAACCTTTTTTTACGAAAATAATGGCAGAAGAAAAAGATTCGACTGAAAAAAAATACCAGATTTTCAAAGTTTTCATTTTTTTCGTCTTTTGTATAATCTGCGTAGTTTTCTTGATTGACGTTCTGAAATTAAAGTTTAGGTACGGTTTTGTAGAGTATTTCGCGGCGCATCTTTTTAAGAAAAACATTAACCTTTGGATGCTAAAAAAACACGAGAAAAATAGAAAATACTGAGAGACCGCACCCGTTACAATTCCTGGGAATATGATAGGTGGAAGACATTAACAATATTAAAAAATTTTGCTAGCAAATACTTTCGAATCCAGGCTGGGAAAGCAGAGACTAATAGAGAATTTCAAGTGCTACCAGAATATATAATTATTTATCTAAAAATGTCAACTTATAGTAATGATATGTTAAAAATATCGAGTTTAAGTATTTTTTTCCGGGTGGATATATGTGCTGACGAAAGCGAAGATATTACACATGAAATTGTTCTTTCATCCGTCTAAAGAGCACTATGTTTTTTTATCAACGTGAGAAATTGATTTCTTAGGAAAATAAATTCGTTCGTTAAGGGCACTCAAAACTTCAAGGAAGTTCGGATATTGTGGAACCGGATCTCTTCAGCGACTTCTATCGCCAAACGCAGGATCATCTAACTAACCAACAATTGTCCTCAATGATCTATTCCAGTTAGTGCTACCATCGGAAGCTAAAATGTATACTTACCCATTTCTGCGATGTTTAAGCGGATTTTGTGCCCTATTTAACCTAATATTAAGCTTTCCGAAGTTCACAAACCAATCTAAAATTTTGAAAGAGCATTTCAGAATTATCTTTAGTAAATTAACCAGGAAAAATCTTCGATAAAAGAAATCAAGTTTTTAGCGCTTAAATCGAGAAAAAAATAAATGTTTCCATTTTCATCAAAATTGATAACATTATGTTTGAAGTTGTCCTTGAAACATTACTCATAGATTTGCATAGATTAGTATTGAAACGATTCTATTTAGTGTGTTTTTAATAATGTATGAGAAACGAGCAAGAGAAGAAAAAGAGTACAAGAGCTTATCCAGTACATCGCCTGTCTCTCTGCGTAACCGTCTGCTGTATCATTCGATGGTTTACTACTTCACAAAATCCTACACTAAAACGATATCAAAATGAGTATTTACCCTACAAGAAAAATAAAAAACACAGGAAATCAATAGATTATTTTACTACAGGAGTATGTCATACATTAATAAATAATATTCAAAAACTAAACTAAAACTGAAAATATTTTAATAAACATGTCGTAGTGGAACTTCTTGTAACCAAGATCTCGACTTCTTGAATTTTTCGAGTAAGATCTTGATAAGAAACTGTAAGAATGCAAGAAATTTTAAAAAGTCAAGATCTTGAACATCTTGTAATTTCTTGACTTCTTGTGTCCAAGATCTTGGAAATCCTTGAATCATTGTTTTGTTTTACACTCTCATTCACACTGTGTAAATAAAAGTGCGAATATCACCCTTAGAATAACTTAGAATTTTTTTCCTTCTTGAACACAGTTATTTAACGAAAAACCTATGATTCTATATGGTCGTACATGTGACAGCTATGACTGTCATACATGAAAACAAAATGTGAAGAAAATTTTTTAACTTACAATCTTGCAATATCTTGAGTGGATTTGCTCAAGGTCTTCAGCGGAAGATTCAAGAATCCAAGATCTTGACTTCTTTACCTTTTTTTCAAGATCTTGTGACATTTCTTAACCCAAGGTCTTGAGTACAAGAAGTTTCGCTAGGACAGCAGAAAAGAAATCGTACACTTACTGTTGATAATGAAGAACAGAATGGAAACAAATACTTTGACTGTATTGGGTTCTTCCATGGTTGATAAGAAGATCACGTGATATAGGTACGAGAGCATGGGACGGTGTGTGAAGTCAAAGAAGACCCTTGCAAGTCAAGAAGACCCTTGCTTTATAGAGTGAAAAGAAAAATGGAGAATATTTTCAAGGACGAATAATGACTCGATCAAGGGCAAAAACAGAATTCGGGCTTTTGGACGTTTATGAATTTTAATCGACTTAGATGAGGTTTGAAAGTCTACCAAAGTCCGCAATGGACTATTTCAAAACTAATAAAGTCTGTAAAGGTCAGAGAAGTCTACATAAATGTATCTGAATCGACGTACGTCGTTAGAAGTCTACATAATTCCACATAGATCCATAAAAGTCATCGTAAATGCATGGGCTTACGTGGATTTTGTCGGACATTGGAAGTCCGGTCCATATTTGGACTAAGTCTGCTTTTCCCCCTTGGGCTAGACACTCTGTCTGACAGCAAAATAAGCCGAGGACGTTATTAAGTGAATTATAAATAGAAATCTAAGTTAACTTGCAGTACTCCAGAAAAAGTCAAGAACCCGAAACGATAAAGAACTGTCGGTTTTCTCAGTAACTTTTAGGCGAACAATAAACTTTTTAGGGTGATACATGCAGAAAAGTACCTGATTTTTTAATTAAAAATTGTTTCTTTTTTAATGCAAATTTTAGAAAAATCCATTGCTGTGAAAGATAATTTTTCACAGGTTCCAAATATATTTTTTCAGGGGGATCAGTTGCCCTGCTAATGTTGAGTTGTGAGATGATTAAGTTTCTTGCTATTTCAGTAGAAACATTTCAAGAAAGCATGGGTAGTATGTGTATCTTCTATTAAACACTAAGCTGTAGTCTATACATTACATCATCTATGAGATCATAAAATTGGATATATTTGACACATGTGCTCTAATAAATCTGAATGCAAAATGCAGAAGAAGAAGGGTTGCTGATTGGTTAAAAATATTTCTTTAAAACAGTAATCATATTTAAACGTAATCACATATTACACTACCTTATTCTTAATAACAGAATATTATGGTGCACGCAATAAAGGTGTTCAATTTTTTTAAAATTAAAAGATGCCGCTGTGAACCAGCTGCCATCCTGTTATAAGTAACTTATAATAAAATCTTCAGTCAATCGTTTTTTATTATGTCGGTATTATGTATAATTTAGCGACAAAATAGGAATCTCCTCAAAATCTCTATGGCTTTTTTTTTCGACTAGATACCCTAGTCGAGGCTCTCGACAAAACTACCACGGAACTCCCTCCAGTCACGAGGTCCTGCGGGAGTCAAGTGGGACTTCCAAAGGACACCCCTTGAAAGTCTCGCCTGACTCCCGCAGGACCCCGTGACAGGAGATCCGTAGGAGTTTTGTCGAGGGTCTCGACTAGGGTGTAATGCGTGCAATAAACAACAGATAACCATGTTTATATGTCTACAAGCAATTCAGATAATGTAATTGTAATGTTATAGTAAAAGCCGAAGAAACGTTTCACAGTGGGCATTTTTCTATAGAGCAGGCGGACATATGCTGTAGAACTGGTATGAAAACCTATAAACATGTTTTTCTATTGGTTTTCGAATATGCTCTTTCTAATGATGAGATTTTCAGAACTCAGAAGTAATTCCTTGTGGGTTTTCCAGCGACCGGATCTCTGGAAAACCATAAACAATATTTTTACATTTCAAAAACCTCACTATTGGAGAGATCATATTCGAAAACCTATAAAAAATGTGTTTGTACACTTGCGTACTATTGCTAAAATAAATATCCAACTTCCTAAGCAAAATTTGCTGCGGACAGAGTTTCAACTGTACAATTCAGTTTGACCGAAAATATTTCTGCAGAAAAATTGAAAAGCTATATATCATTCGACCTAGTTTTTCACGATGATTCCGAACATGACTTTATGTTATGGAAAAAGTGCTCTTATGGGGGAGAAAAACACCAATTACCTCGAAAACCCTATGGGTTTTGTAAAATCAATAACTCGACTTAGAAAAAAAGACGAGATCACCATAAATACATGATAGGTTGAGGAACAATTACATGTAATTAGAAGGTCTGTTCAGGCTTAGCGCTTTTTAGCGCTGTCACTGCACTCAGGTTGTCTCATGTTGGACTGTAGTAATCTAGACTACTAGACCTTTTTTCGTTTCGTAAAAGATGCAAAAGGAGTACCTTCTATTATCAGGAGATGCAATAGGTTGTGCTGATTCCGAATATGCGCTTTGGATAGGGTAGTATTGCACGTCTGTACATAGAAATAAGAATCTTTGCAGATGTGTCATATTTGACGGCGTTTTTTGTGAATGTTCGTAAGTTAACTTACTCATCGAAGGAGTTCATTACTAGTCGATGGTTATATACCATTCGATAGCGCTTTTCAAGGACTACATTTACTA